GTGAAAACGATTTGAAACTTCTCTTGACCACGCACAGAAAAGTCCAGATGTTCTCTGTGGGAAATTCCTGCTATCAAGTGAGCAGCGTTGAGGAAGGCAAGTGTGAATCTCTTAGTCAACTCCAATATACAGTCAGAACTGTTCATTGGGTGTTTTTGTTATAGAGTCTTTCGCCTTCGCGCGTAAAAATCGAAAACACGGTCGGGCGTTCTATGCTGCCTTCATACAAGAGGAACGAAGTTGAATAAGCACCTTGTTATCGTTTCGATAAATTTCCGAGCTATGGTCAGTATCGCGACAAAATATTCCTTGTACTTTTGATGCGCTACCGTAATCGGAAACCTTTATTCGTGAAAAAATTCTATGTTGCCAAATTTTTTGCACGTATCGCGGTGAAAGTGGAGTGCTGCAACACACACCCGAACGTCGGTTCAATCAAGTCTCTAGGGCTCAATAATCTTTCAATTTCTCTACGGCAAGCAAACTGCTATCAGACTTGCCCGAGTATAACAGCACTGACTTAGTGCGTCCACGGGCCACTGCGAGTTGTTTGTACGTTTGATACGCATTCATTCATCTCTTGGAATTCCTGATAAAATCGAACGAATGCTGCACCTCATAGGGATTAAGCAGCACTGGATTCCTTGCCTTCCTTTTATAACCAAATTTTTATTTTAGCAGTGCGTTCTATTTCGTTACCGACTGAAACTGTAAAATTTTCAAAAAGCAGTCTCGACACTCTCTAGTGCTCCATCTACAAAGAGACCAAGGTCATCGTTTTCCGATATCCTCGTCGCCATTATCAGCTTCTGGATTCTTCTAAAAGGAAATGTTTATGACTGACTTCGGATTGACCTAGTGCTAACGGTCTAGTGGTTTTACGTCAATTCTGGTAAAGTGGGAAAAGGAATCGTCTTTATACAAAGAAAATATCAGATGCTCCATAGCCGTTCCATTAAGAATATCGAATGCACCGATCGAAATTTAGGAAGCGTGAAAAACTCTTTTTGTCGTTAGGTTTAGCGGAAAAATGTTCATTGAAAAATAGATATCGTCTTCTACCCATCAGCCACGCCAAATTTTCTTTTTCGCTTTCCTGACAACAGCAGATCTCCCAACGGTTTGCCGCCTTATCGTGGCTGGGAGATATTCCTTGGTGTGGGACTGCGATGTTCAGCGGGATTCGTCTTTCCGGCAGGGTCTTCCAAGCTGAGAAGGAGTCCGGCATTTGCATAAGTAAGTTTAGCTAAGAATAAACCAATATCAGGATCCATCACCCTCCTGGTACCAAAGTCGTGGCAAATCCTCCTTTGATCCACAAGGACTGCGGCTGTTTGTGATGGTGACGACCTGGGGCAGACTTTGGTAAGGCTGACCTCAAGACTCCAGGAAATCATAATGGCTTAACCAACAAATATCCGAAAAATGGAGATTATGCTGGGGCCCGCGCAACCAGTGAGGAACGGGCCATTCAAGTATCAAGTAACTAAACAGTAAGAACAGTAACAATCCTTTTTAAGAAAAATGCCTTTTTTGAGATTAGGAAGCCTGTATCTACAAAGGGAAAACCAAAGAAACCTAGTACTTCGCTTTCTGTAATGCATAGTATGGCCGGATAAAATATCTCGTAAAGGTAGCAAAGTAGGAACTGTAGATAAGGGCGTCGAAACCTTCCTGAAAAAGTCGATGGGCTATCAGGGCTGCGAAACTGGCAAAAATCTCCATTTTCAGTCTTTACTGCAAATATAGTAACCCTCAGTCTTTTTTACATTGCTTTGACTAATTGTGAGAATAATCAACGGCTTTCCTTATAGATGCAAATTCTTGGGACTGGTAGTCGCTCAAATGAGCAAGTGCTAAAGCGTTCACCTCCCTTGATGTTTCAACTATCTTGTGAAACTATTCTGCCAATGTTTTGCTAATTACATTAACTATTCTATTGTAGCGAAGGAAACTCGTAGCGCGGTGGCTATAAGCGCCTTGCAATGCACGTAGGATCGATCTCCCGCTCTGGCTCACCAAAACTTCTATTCCTACGAGGTCGCCAAATTGGTACGAGACCTGTTTGGAAAACTAGCAGTATTAACTCGATTCACTGGTAGGCCACTGTATATAGACCAGCTATGTATTCGCATTCTAATGGTGATTATACTAGGGCTCGCACATCTAGTGAGGACGGGTCGTTCAGGTATCAAATAAGTAAGACAACAGCAGATGAGGTGAAAAGAAACGACTTAATAATGGCGAAAATAGTAATGGTGAAGGTTGGCAGCGAAGGAATGGTCGGAATTATGAATACTTAATAATACTGAAAGTTGTTGACACTGTTGAAGATAGATATAAGTGAAACACAGGATGGCGTTTGTCTATGTATCAAGTCGGTTGTTTGCGTCTTTCCAAACGACCTTTAAGTTTATCTGCTAGCCATTAATAATCAGGGCTTAGTTAATCTTTTCCTTCTTTGATAGTTGAACACAAAAGATGCACACATTCGTCATAGGATTCCTATAACTTTAGTTGTTATACGCCAACACTTACGATGTTTTACCACAGAAGAGCACTGCCCTTTTATCTACGGTTCAGATTGGTCTCTAATCTGTCTATGAGGTTAGAAACACTGTATTTACACATTAATAGATTTATGTGTCTTTGAGTTTGCTATAAATGCATTCCTTACCTTACATCAAGTATGATGCATGCCATAGTTTCTAGTGAAAGGGAATGTTCATTAAGGGCCGTCTGAATGCTTCCATCTCTCCTTAGTGCACAGAGAAAATAAAATTAGTTACTGAGCAGATTTATGTGGTGAAGCAGCGTTTATTTCAGTAGCAAATCAATTTCATTTATCGTTTTTTAGAAAAGTTTGGAGAAGAACCATGTGTGAAATGCGAAAGTTCTTGCACGTTCTAGTCAATCCCTGCTGTTAATTTTAACCTATTATTTACTACCCTACCTACTTTTTTAGTGGCATGGTATATTGCGAAATATTACTTCAACGATGCAGAGATATTTGCAAGACTTTGGACCGCAGGTGTATGTGGTGGGGAAAGAACGCGCTGTTGTCCTCTCCGGGGAGTGACGCGTTCACCACCACACCATGCGGGTCCTTCGCTTTGCCTGTGTCTCAGCTAGTTGCTGTCGCCTGTTGTTAATATTTCATTATTTCATATGAACGGTTAATAGCGTTGATAGCGTAAACTTGCAGAAAATTTATCCCAACTTTAATTGTGTTAGGGATAAACATTTTCGCACTTGGTTGCGGCATATTCAATTCACATCAAATGAAAACTTTTGAATTTTTTTTGCGTGATACATTTCAAGCTAATAGCTTTCGAAGAGAGAGCGAAAAAAACCAATAGTTCATGCGTGATCATCTCGCTCCCTGCTTTTCTATCCGAAAATTCCACATGAAAGAGTATAATGAAAAAGACGTTAAACGCTGATCCGTCCTTTATGGAGGCGCCATGAATTTCATTCCATTCGTAGCATCGTAGAGTTGTATATTTATCCTATACAGTGATTTACGTTTTTTCCCGGTGTATATCTAGTTAGAATTTTATTACTCTAAGCAAATCTGGTGCAAATTTGACGACGTCCTGATTGGATGTTGGTTTGCCCAGGGTGTTCTGTCCGATGCAGACCGTGTCTTGAATCCGGCAGACACATTACCAGATGCAGCCGACCACTAACTCCTTCACAGTGGCAGCCTCTCCAAAGTTCATAAGCAATGTCTTGCTCGATTTGTACTCCGAAAATCACTTTAAGATATAAATTCACATCCACAACTCGGGTAAATATTGCAAATGACTTCGCACAACTTATGGAAACCCTCTTATTTATGCGACCTGACGTATTCTGCTGATATAAGCGTCTCCCTTACCTGGTATGTTGCATTTTCCTGTTGTTACAAAACGTCGAATTTCCTCTCACGTTGCAGTTTCTGTGGGAAGTGTACGCTATCAGTACATCGTAGTTCAACATTTAGAAGCACTTTTAGGTTAAGGCTACGCGCTTAACATTTGAGGGACTGAGCTTCTCTAGCTTTGTTGATATGTGTTGATATATGCCATATGTATTACATAAAGTTGTTTGTTTCTCAGCAGCCATTGTCATTAAGGTGTGTTTCAAGCTTATGCAGTTGAATTTTCATACACAATTAGACAGCAATAGTAATACAGCCATCCAAAATGACAATTATCACTGAAAAAACAACATCGGGAATAAGTAAGACGATGGTCGGAACGCAGGGACAAACTAGAGTGAGTAACCAATAGTGGAACATGCAAACGTACACCGACTAAGGAATACTAGCAGTAGCAGCGATGAGCAATGAGTGGTTTATCGATGGAATTGCTACCGCCTAGAGATTATCTTCTTGGGTCTTAGTAAACTGGATACTGCCAAAGAGTTTTCATCGGTCAGTTTACAGACAACGCGGAAGGCCACTGGTAGGAAGTGGTACCAGCAAAACCAACCTCGCCAATCCCTCCAGACTGGGAAATGACTACGAAAATTATCTGGAAATAGCTCACTCCAATCCACAAAGCCTCGTGAGTGTTTCTGGTGAAGACCTAGGAATGCCCTAAGCTGTCTCAGGTTTCCTGGGGAATCTACTCGACTAGCTTTGAACAATACTAATAAAAAACTAAAATTCTCAACCAGTAACAGAATCCACGTGAATAGAACTTTGTTGATGAAAGATACCAAGAAATGAATCAAATGAAAGAAGCGCTAAGTTCTGCACAAATCGCGGTTTAGAATCAGGAAGAAATGGCAAAAAAGTCTCAGTGTTACAGTAATATCGTTGAGCTTCGTTTTAATCATGACTTCACAGCGCTTCAAACATTTTCCGTATCATTTCCTGTACCACCGCCTGCATTAGTGAAGATAGCTGATGCTCATGTAAAAACAAAACTTATCAGAACATAGATCGATAACAGATGAGAATGCGTTAAGACCTTCAATGTGACAAATTTATAATCGTACTTTGTCGGACTCTTTCAATAGTTGAACATATCCACCAATACAGAGTCACACTTCATCACGTCAAAAAACGTGATCATTCTGTAATTGTGGACCAGTGCCTGTGCTTGTTCCTGAAACTTGATATACCTCGAATAATAAGTTATTTGATATTTGAATTGTATCAATCTAAGAGAAGAAGTATAAAAGAAATAACGAAAAAGTTTGCTAAATCCATACCGGGACATCTAACAAGTAAATATAATGATGACAAGAAGGAGGATCAAGACAAAGTCTGAACAGGATTTGAAGACCTAAAGAGGAGAAGTTCGAAAAATATGAATAATAAAAAAGAGAACAAGAGGAACAGGAATGTGACCCCATCGCGATGAGGAAAAAACGGACGCTGAAAGAGAAAACTAAAGAAGAAAAACATACGATGAAATAAAAGTGGCAGATCAGGGGAGGATATAAAGACCACAGAGAGAAAAGAGAAAGAGGGAAAGAGGGAGGAGGAGGAGGAAGAAGATGAGAGAAAAGCTTGAATTTTTTAGTCTGTGTTCAAATATAAAACGTAATAAGCACGCACCAAAACATAGGACATGGCCAGCAACAAACTGCCCATTCGTACTTCGGGATCTAGGGCTTTTTTGCTGCAGACCTGATGCAAAGCTAGCATGATTAAGTCTCGTTGACGGTGGCATACATTACGGCCAGCTTCGGAAAGTTTATAGAACACTGAAAGCGATCAGAGTGAAAAACAACTTTAGCGCACATTATTCCTATCTTAATAGACCAGAAGTGACCCAGTAGAAGTTTGAAATGGTCCACTGGGAAATCCTAGAAGCATTTCTAGTTGGTAACCAATATCGCTGATAAGTTTATTCAAAATTGGTATAAACGCTTAATACGATCAAACTATCTACCCAATCGCCTTCTTCAGAGCCTACAATGCATTGAATGAAGTATCCACAGCTGTATTTTCGTGCAACATTAGTTTTACTAGCACGAAGTTGAGTCGAGTGGAGTAGAATATCAAGCGAATGATATGACCTTACCAAATAGGCAGTGGTTGTTAATACAGATCGGTTCTTAACCGACTGCCTGCTTATTTTTTCACGCTGCCAATTTGCACTGGAATAGTCAGAATTACAAAAGATGGTATATAGATATATAGAGAAACAATGGGATCATATAGCGCAGTGGTTACGCTCTCTGCAGTACAAACTAGAGCAATTGAAATTTCGACCCAGCGCTCCTGACTTACCACCACTTACAACCCTCGGAGGTCGGCAAATTGGTAACACACCTTTATGGGAAATAAAAAAATCGATTTGACATAGGTTACCGTAGAAGCAAAATATGCATTCAATAACCTCTGCGATGCTACGAATGGAATAGAGTTAATGCCATATCCAAGCTTTACGGCACCGGCATGTTAAAGAAATAGCCGACAGAAAGGCAAAGCAAGGACTTCAGTGGTACAGTGGCTAGCCTAGCCCTTGAGCCCCTCCGAAATGTTATCGCGATTCGAATCTGGCATGAGGTCCAAGTTTTGCAATTATCTCAGCATCGTGGTAGTCGTATTCCACATAATGCCTTGCAATGAAAAAATAATAGCCAGTAAATGAAAAGCTCTACATTGAGAACTCAAATGGTTTTGGTGGCATGTTGTCCACATGAAGAATTCTGTCTTGATGTTGAAAATTATATTTTGCATAATGACGAAATTCTGCTTTTGAAGTAACAGTGTAAACCCTCATTGAGAAGAAGAAACCTAACTGTTTAATGCTGCTGTCTTTTTATTAGCATAATTCATAAGTAATAAAGGTTTATGAGCTTGGGCTCTTACTGAGATGCCAAATAGTAAGTGCCTTCAGAAGAGCGTACTCTTCGAAGGAGGCATGCAGTTCGCAGAACGGCACGCACATGTTCGTCCATTGCCTGATCTTCGTCGGCATCAAAGACCTGAAAATTATTCATAAATTATTACACACACTTTTTTCACATATTCGAAAGTATGAATGAAATATGCATCGTAAAAAAACGATTTTTTTAAAATTTATTATCTGTTTTACACGAAGCAGAAAATCATACACGATTACTCCTCAGAACTCTTCAATAGCCACGCCCTGCTTCCTTCATATGAAATAAAGGAGTATGGACATGTTGCACCACCTGTTCTCCCTTCCGAAATCCGACATGCCATTTCGTTGGTAAAAAATCGAATAGCACCGGGTTCGGACAGGATAAGATCTGAACACCTGAAGAACGTGCCGCCAGCCCTCGTAAACACATTGGCTCGGATCTTTACATGTTACCTGTCTGAATGCAAGGTCCCTGCTCAGTAGAAGACCAGCAAGAGTGTGTTATTGTTAAAGAAGGGTGACCTACACAATATCGGCAACTATCGCCACATATGCTTGCTGTCTGTGGTTTACAAGTTGTTTACTCGAGTTTTTTTTTTTTACTAAACAGGATTGACATATCACTGAACGGAGGGCAGGCATTTGAGCAAGCACGGTTTCGAAAAGGGTTCAGTATGATGGACCACATCTACACGACAACAAGACTTATAAGTTTTGCGAAAATACAAAAGACCGTTCCGTCTTGTTTCACCAATTTAAAGAAGGTCTTTGATACGAATGAAGTAGAAGCATTCATGGAAGCCCTGGACATTCATGGAGTCCCTTCTCAGTATATAGAGAATCTCCACTAGCTGCATAAAGATTTCACAACCAAGAAATCACCATACCACAACGATATTTTAATATCGACGTCAGAAAAGGGGTTAGGCAAGGCGATACAACCTTACCAAAATTATTTGTCGCCAACAACGAGAATATCATGCGAACATTGGAATAGGATAATATGGGTTTGGAAATCGACGGTTGGAAATTACATCATTTTCGCTTTGCAGATGACATCGTCGTCACAACACCGGCATTAGCCAAGCGGAATGAATGCTTTCCGACTTTGATAATGCCTGTTGAAAAATTGGTCTTCGACTAAATCTTACAGAAACGATGTTCATGAAGAACGGATTGGTTTCGTATGCCCCATTGACGCTCAACGGAACGAATATCTTTGAATGCTCTGTTTATCTAGGATGGGAAAGCAACACGATGAACCACTTATCTCCAGAGTTGAGCAGATGAAAACGAGCGGCTTGGGGTGCCATTAAGAGCACTGAGGATGTAGTAAAGAGGACAAAGAACACCCAACTACGTGCCCACCTTTTCGTTTCCACGATATTTCCTGGTCCAACGTCTGCGTCAGAAAGCTGGCCGCTGCGTAATCAGGGTAAAAGACCACTTAGTGTTATCGAACGCGCAGTCGAAAGGACGATGCTAGGAGCATCCCGCTTTACATAAATAAGGGATAGGATCCGAAGCTCCGATCTGCGTCTACGACCAAAAGTCAAAGATGCCGTTCTGTACGTCAAACAGTCGAAGATAAGATGGGCCGGACACGTGAGGCGTATGAATGACAACCGATGGACAAGAACCGTTAGTGACAGGAATCCTTCGGATGTCAAACGTACTGGAGGATGACCACCGACCCGATGATCAGAGTTCTTCACGAAAAGCCTAGAAGAAAGTTAGATGCACAACGAGTCTCTAGAGGGAGCACAATCCATTGGGCTACTCTTGCACGCGACAGGGAAAAGTGGAAATTTACTGGAGCCCACTCGAGTCACCCGACGACCAACGGGACAACAGGTAATACAGGTGGTAAAGGTTAGAGCAGATCGCTGCCAGATGTTCATTACTTACAAGCAGTGGTGAGGATTTGTAGATTTGAAGGAGAGAGCCGAATTTAGACAAGCCTGGTGCCAATTTCCTTCCCATTAAGAGATGGCAGGCGTTGATGAACACAGACTTGTAGAAACAGAATCTGGCCGTATTAAACAACATTAAGACTATAACGCTATACCCTTTGAATAATGAAGGTATCTAACATTGAAATCAAAGCTGCTGCTGGATTATATGACGCTTCGCTGTGAGAAGTGAACGCTTAAAAGATGAGCTGTAAAACACAGTAGAAGGTTTGTCGCTTGATATATTCACTGAGTGTGAAAAGTTCGGCATTTCTATTAACGATTCCAACAAAGTGTAAAACTACGCTGGACGTCGCTGCCGTGCTAAGAAACGCCGATAAGGAAAGGGAATAAGGGAATCCCTAAGCGATTGAATATTGTGCAAGCGTCCACATGAGTCGCGAAGACGGTTATACTAGGTATCCAACTATGCGAGAAATAAAGTAATAGTATACATATTTTTTAAATGGTGTAATCTCATAAATTCTATTATGTGAAGACTTTCACATTTTGAAACGTTTACTTAAATAGCAATTTGTCGACACTAGATGGCTCAGTTTTCCAGGGTCGCGCGTTAGAACCAAAAACCACGTGTGCACTGCAGATTTTTAACCAATGTTTGGTTGATATTATCTATCACTCACTAGCAGATTTTTTCCGGTTCTTACAGAATACGGTGTTCTGCAATAAATGTGGTTTTGGGTTCGATCCCATGACGGGAAAAACGACGTCTCTCATTCCTTCATAGTTGGCAAACCGATGCCGAAATAGTCCGGAAGGATGAAAATGCTGCCTTGATGGACCAACAGGTCGATGATACGAATGGAGTTGAATGCGTGGTATATCTTTTAATATATCACTGCTTGGAACTCTTTATCATTTATTCCTGAAATGTGCTAGCAATGACGTATTTTCTCTAACCTGTACTTATCGTAGTCGCTCTTGGAGTTGAACAGAACTTCAGCGCCTGGCTCATCTCCTCGGATGGGAAGTGGATCCATTTGAAGAAATTCGCCATTAAACATAACCATACGTTTTTTATGTCTACCAAGTCGATATGTGAAATAGGCAGATGTAATCATACAGTCTACAGCACATGCATAGCGAAAGAACAGATTCTGAACGTAACACCATTGACGAAGGAAATTACAGTACCTTTGAAAATTTATCGCTTCTATTACCACCTTGATCACAAATCTGCGCCATTTCAACATAAGCAAGCATTATGGACGCCAATTATATAGTTCAAGATAGTTCAAGAGTTCAAAAAGATAAAAGGATAAAGCTCTCGGCGTTGATCAATCCTTGAGGGATGAGTCATGTATTCGACTTCATTCATCACATTTGGAGGTGATTGAATGCATATCTGGCCTTTACAATGACTCGCGGTGGCCTATCGATGTATCGAGCCAGTGCTGCTATCCTCCCAAACAAGTCCGGTACCAATTTGCCGACCCCGGAGGGATGGAAGGCTGAGTGGGCCATGGACGCGTGGATCGATTCACCGTTTGTGTTAGAGGGCACCCCCGACCACTGCGCCACATGTCCTTAAGCTCAAGATATAAGGTAAATGTAGATTAAAAAAAGATAAATAACAAGTGTAAAAATATAGCAAAGTAATGAAAGAAACGATGAGATAGACATTTGCTGAAATGGTTTGATAGGATAACAAAGGCTTCTTGTACAAATGATAACGTGATAACAGACAAAGAGACGAAGTGATTATGTTATTAAACGAAATTTTGAAAAAAAAAGATAACTGTCTTACTGAGAGATTTTAAAAGGCACAACCTTTTCTTGTGGGGTGAGCTTATCGAACTCTAAGAAACCATTGAAGTAGTCGTGAAGCATTACAAAATCGTGTCGAGCCAGCCCTTGAAACTTTCTGTAGTCGAATTGCCTTAGCTCATTCTCTTGATATGGCTGAAAGACGAGAGTAGAACCTAAGTTTAAAATCCAGTTAGTGATCGGTGCTGTTACCAAACATTTATTCGGTCAACGTCTCGGCGCCTTCGCCTTTTTCAGAACGGCGACGATTCGAGTACTGATTGGCGCCGAAAGGTTGGCCGAAAAAAATTGTAACCACGAGGTGTTAGCATATAAAAAAACCAAGATATTGGAATATGAATGCGTCGTTTTCTTGTTCAGCAATCGCGAGGTTTTTAAACAGCATACATTTACTTCCGTAGAAAAACACAATACAATACAACGCTAGCTGACGTTTCGGCAGTATCGCCTTCATCAGAGCCTGGAAGGGTATACTGATATACAATCTACTAGGCCAAACGCTTCAATAACACTCACAAAAAGACGAAAAACTTTATGGTAATTACATCTTTTGCGTGACGTCCAATGAGCAAGTTTAGAACAGCTAAGTATAGCCGCATATGGTTGATGACTGCACCATCCCACAACAGAAATTATTGCGAACATACGGGGTCAGGTCGCGTATGACCGCTGGGCATTCCTTCCTGCTATTCATTGTAGGATTTTTGGCATTGATCCAAAAAGCCTCAAGAAGTTTTCGCGCTGGTGTTTTAGTCTCCTGTGCAATGATATTGGCTCTTACTTCAAAATCGTCTCCGCTATGCTTTTGTATCCTATGCGTGCCCAGTGGGGTGCTTCGTCTTAGTTTTCGTTTGCCATCTAGGTGTTCTTTTATACGGATACACAAAGGTCTGCCTGTTTCGCCAATATATTCATCTCTGCAATTATTACAAGAGATCAGGTATATCGTACCTGAAATCATGCAATCACCGTACCTGCCGTAAGGGAAATGGAACTACTTCGAGCTGTACTACGAAGCAAGTAGAACGAGATGTTTGCCAGAATGAAGAAGTTTGCAACGAAGAAACATTTTTGTGCTTTGTATTTGGAGGATCACTCTTGGAAGAGTGGGTCAATATTGATATGCGATTTTATTAGATCTAATGCCAAAATAACCTTACAACGAAAATTCGAAAACCTTTTGGGTAATTCACATGTCTCATCTTCAAGAAATAACCGCAAACGAATTCCTTAAGCTTCTGATAACAGTCAAAATGGGGTTGATAATGCACCAAGAAAATCTACGGTCACCGTGATTGGCGGCATAACAATACCTGAGAAAGCGCGCTCGCTATTAGAATTGGGCCCAAGTATTGCACCATCACAGCCCATTTCTAAAACGACCCTACGTAGGATAGCATGCAACCTTTATGAGCTTCAAGATCGACTCCGCTATCAGGCCAAGCAAGAAACATCAAATAGAGATAAAAATCAAGAAGCGGCGACACTACCACCATCTCCTTTCCCAAAAACGTCTTTAAGACAGCAGGACCCTAACGATGGAGTTGACATAAAATTCCGTGTTTTCGGACGGCGTTCTAAAGACCCTTGATCACTACCGCGGTAGAAAGTTTATCTCTAACTTTACAGCCGCACAAAAATGTGGCTTGCGAGAAATTAGAGAATTAATAAGCTTGAAAACAATAAGATTATCTGTTAGTGATAAGGGGGGAGAGTTCGTAGTTATTCCTCGCCAGCTGGATGTTGAGGTAACAAAGGAACATCTTAGTGATGCTACCCTCTATCGCCCATCCTCTGAAAAAGAATGTAAAAGTCAATACCGAAAACTAAACAATCAATGGGTCAGTGTGGAAAAGGCTGCGAGTTTAAAATCATCGGTTATTTCGCACTTTAAAATCGATAGATCAACATATCCCGTCCTATACTTACTTATTAAAACACATAAGTTGGTATCACCTGATGATCAAGCGTCAACCAATCCGTCATCATTTAAGGTTAGACCGATCATCAGCTGTGTAGACGGGCCAACGGATAGAATAACCTGGTTTTTAAGCCTGATACTTACCCAGTTGCTTAACCACATTCCAGCTCACCTCACAAACACCCAAATGTTCCTGGAACGACTACGTAACGCGTCTCCTAATAACGCGTACGTGATGGAGTCTTTCGACGTTACCGCACTGTACACCAACGTATCGAATGACTCCGCAATGCAAGCCATCTTCGAAGTTCTTGTTGAACATGAAGGAAGAATAAATATGCATGGCTTGTCCATCCAGCAGCTAATGGCTCTCTTAAAGGAGTGCTTAAACTGCTCGATCTTCAGATGGTCTGGAAAATATTTCGCGCAAATAAGGGGGTTGGCAATGGGACAGCGATTGGCACCAAGCCTGGCCATTGTGTTTATGTCTAAGATAGAAGCCCCTGTTCTCGATCTCCGGCCACTGCTTTACTGCAGATATGTGGATGATTGCTTTGTCGTCTTCGCTACGCAGGAGGAGATGGACAAATGCTTTGAATTATTGAACGAGCAGTCCGAGTACATAAAGTTTACCCGGGAGAAACCGAGAAAAACTGGCTTCCGTTTTTGGAAGTTCAAATAAACCTATCAAGTAGCGGTTACCTGACAAAGTGGTATCGAAAGCCAAGTAACAAGAACATCCTTGTTCATTTCCTTTCTTCCCACCCTTCACACACAAAGAGGGCGATTGTGAAAAACATGTTTCGAACAGCCACCTCTGTGTGCACTACCAGGGAACTAAAGGAAGAATCGCGCGACTTGGCTCGGCAAATAGCCATTTCCAATGGCTACGAAATAGTAACCCCACGAGATAAGTTTTCAAGGAGAACGACGCGCCCACGCGAAACACTTGGCCAAAAGGAAGTCCCGTTCATGTTGCCTTTTATAAGCGATGAAGTAAGCGTAGCTATAAAACGATGCTTAAGAAGGGCAGGTCCAGAGGAATCGGTAGCGATAGTTGAAATACCACCGGCTACTCTACGTTGTCAGCTAGTTCGTAACCGCCTGTATGAGCGTCTATGTGAAACAACAAATTGCGTAATTTGCCCTTACGGCAGGGACGGTGATGGCATGAGTTCATATACGATATACCTGATCTCTTGTAATAGTTGCGGAGAGGAATATATTGGCGAAACGGGCAGACCTTTGTGTATCCGTATAGAGGAACACCTAGATGGCAAACGAAAACTAAGACGAAGCACCCCACTGGGCACGCATAGGATACAAAGGCATAGCGGAGACGATTTTGAAGTAAGAGCCAATATCATTGCACAGGAGACTAAAACACCAGCGCGAAAACTTTTTGAGGCTTTTTGGATAAATGCCAAAAACTCTACAATGAATGGCAGGAAGGAATGCCCAGAGGTCATACGCGACCTGACCCCGTATGTTCGCATCAATTTCTGTTGTGGGATGGTGCAGTCATCAACCATATACGACTCTGAGCGTCTGTTCCTCCTCGGTGGGAGACAAGTGAATAAAGCGATGAGTTTTCGAGAAGTTGTTGATCATGTAATTGCTAAAGAGTTTTTGTTCTTTTTTAAAGTGTTATTGAAGCGTTTGGCCTTGTAGATTGTATATCAGTGTATCCTTCCAGGCTCTGAAGAAGAAGAATATTGCCAAAACGTCAGCTAGCGTTGTATTGTATTGTGTTTTTATGGAAGTAAATGTATGCTGTTTAAAAACCTCGCGATTGCTGAACAGGAAAACGACGCATTCATATTCCAATGCTGTGATTAATAGAAAGTCGGTTCTGGTAACTATTCCAAGGTATTGGTTTTTTGTGCCGAAGTCGAATGAGAGCCGACTTGTGAAACCACCTATTAACAATATTCCCTGAATTCGAGCTAGCTCCTCGCTTTAACAGAGTTGATAAGTTAGAGTCAAATATGTCAGATGAGAAAACCAGACAAAAAGAGGAAAATCACGCCCATAAATTTAATACAAACGTGTCGCAACCCAATCTTTTGTCATCCAGGATGTAGTTAATGGATCGCTTCAAACCTTCCTCAACAATAATTTAATTAAGTGATCTAACCATTTTAGAATTCTCATTTTAATGCGCCCCATAATGAGTAGTTCAGTACAGCTGAAAAGTCTTACGCTAGATATGAATAGCAAACGACAGTACATCTGTAAAGTAGGTGTGTCCATCTGTCAAGTAAAAAAGGGTAAAGGATAAAGCTCTCGGCGTTGATCGATCTCTGAGGAATGCGTCATGCATTATAGTTCAAGATAAAAAGATAAAAGGATAAAGCAGTCCGCGTTGGTCAATCCCTGAGGGATGAGTCATGTATTCGACTTCATTAATCACATTTGGAGGTGATTGAATGCATATCTGGCCTTTACAATGACTCGCGGTGGCCTGCCGAGTTATCGGGCCAGTACTGCTATCCTCTCAGAAAG